CGAGATCAAATGAATCGGGTTCTAAATGACAACTTACTTAAGGCTCAACATCGCACGCAAAATACAGAGAAAAGACAATCTGACAGACAATTCTAGATTGAAAACGAGGTTTACCTAAAGCTGCAACTACATCGTCAGACGTCCATCGCCTTTCGAAAAAAATTTAAAGCTTTCTGCAAGGTTTTATGGCCAATACAAGGTTGTAGACAAATTCGTTCAGTTGTGTATCAATTGCAGTTACCACATACTTCAAGAATTTATCCAGTATTCAACGTTAGTCTCCTTAAGAAAAATATTGGTGATATAGTCGTTACCATGATGGACCCTCTTGTAGTTGGGAACGATGGACAGTTAAGGGTGTATCCAACAGTGGTGCTCGATAAACACATCGTCAAACGACAAAATCGTACGACTAGTCAACTTCTGATTTAGTGGTTGAATTTGGAGAATGAGCACATAACTTGGGACTCGATGTTAAAATCGTAGTTCCTGGAATTTTTATCTTTGGGGACAAGGATCCAGTCAATGAGGGGGTATTGTTACGAGCTTGAATGGGAAAATGAGAGAATTAGGGTTCATGAACAACAAAGAGGAAATAGGGATTGGAGGATTTGGGATTTTGATCATCGGGAGGAATAAGAACAATTCAAACAGTTGTAGTTGAGGAGTGTCAAAATGACAGCGTGTTTGGAAGTAAAGTGCGCTTGAAGATGGATCAAGTGAAGAGAGGAAATGGGCTAAGAGGCCAGGAAGAGAAGCGGGCTAGCACCGTGCTTACTACAAACTAATGATGATGTAGACTCACCTGGACCCACACCAGCAATGGCAGATTTGTTGGAAGACACAGTTGGCAGTAACCAGCTTAGGACGTTGTATAACATAAAAGGGGAAATATTTCATTGTACTAAGATATCTTGAATTTCTAATGAAAAGTATGAGTTTCTTTCATTTCTTCTAATTTTTAATCTCCTTCTACCTCCAATTATAACAATAATAAAATAATGAAAATAATGAAAAAATAAATACAATAAATAAAATAGAAGACTCCAATAGAGATGTTATAGCTTTAAATTTTACTTAGCCTCAATTTCGATCTATCATCGAAATAAAATTTTCCCTCCGTGATGTACGCCGATTATAGTCAACAGGACCCAACCCCTACAACTAAATCTTCTCTTTGGTTAATCGAAATTTCGAAGTCTATCTCCGAAATCTTGTCCTTGTTGGTCTAACCACAATATGAAGTTATGAAGAATAAATTTTAATTCTCAGGATTTAGAATTGAGTTTCGAACCAAAGTATAACTTCAATAAATAACCAAGGAAATATAAATTTCAATCTCTTTCAACTATTGAACCTAAGGATATTTATAACTCGAGAGTTCTAAGTAAATAAAATAACTAATTCTTAAATAAAAGATAATGATATAATCAAACTAAAAATTCTACCTAGAGTTATAAGTAAATAACCAATTCTTAAATAAATAATAATAATAAATAATCAAACTAAAAATCTTAAATTTAAAAGGTTTATCCCAAAAGATAAAAATAAATATTTAATTCTTATAGTATTGGTTGGATTCTGCTTTATCTTCTGGATAATTCTGTCTCATGTAATTCAAAATAAAATATTCAAGATAATTTTGTTCGTCTTGTAGAAGATGCTGACTGGATCGGTGAAATCTGCTAGTTTTTTTGGACTAATTAATCTAAAGAAGCCCATGTCCAAAATAAACCTAAAATAAAGATAAATCAATAATAACTAATAGAAAATAAAGAGTAAATAACAATATATACATATATATATATAATATAATATTAAATACTCATCACTCGTGGATCATCCCCGCTTCCGTTGGAACGGTTGCCTTCAAAAACAATGCTGAAATGGTGACAAGTGTTTATTGAGCTTAGGGTACGTTTAGTTTACGGTATGTAAGATTATCTTTGGGAATAAGATTACAGGAATATAACATTACTATATGAATGTTGTATGACTCTGTTAGATGAATATAAGTATTTGGTTGGAGGAATGTAAGATTAATTGGATGCATATTTTACCAAATTATCATTGTCATATATATTTTTTAAACAAGTAAAACTTTAATATTAAATTATAAATATTTGAATGAAAATTCATAAAAATATTTTAATTTATTGCACTATCTAAATTTAAAGAAAAATAAATTTAACATATAATTAATATATCAAACTTATACTTTTAAATAATTTTCATAAGTATCATATTTATTTATATAAAATATAATATAATATGAAAAATAATATTGTGATCTCGAGAAAACAAATATATTATTTTTAATGTATAAGATCTATTTTTTATAACTCAAAATTAAATATTATTTTAAATAATTACATTTTTACAATAATAATATTTTCACCTCATAAAATTATAAAATAATATACTAAATATTGAAAATATAAAATAATTTTCACAACTCAAATTTATTAATATTTTATTAAATTAAACTCTTTGTGTATTATTATTAAGTTTATAATTTTGAGTAAAACACGAAGAATAAGAATTGACAAGGATCCATATAAAAAAGATCATTATTTTAGGGGTATTTATGTCTTAAATGGTGGGAATTGTTCATTACCTAAGAATTTGGAGGCAATGACATTCCCACCATTTTAACCAAAAAATACAACTATTAGTAACAAGTTATTAACTTGATAATGATCTTTTCTGCGAACCAAATGCCCCTTTGTGAAAAGATTTTTAAATCCATAATTAATTTGCAGCTAATAACACAAAACTTACTGAAATCAATAAAAACATGTTTCAGTGTTTTTATTGAACTATCAAACAACATGTAAAAAATTAAAAACATGTTTCAGTGTTTTTAAAGCTCAGCATTCAACTTACACAGATTGTAATGATCGATTACAATCATTTTAATTAAAAATTTAATTTATGTTTTATCTAGATAAAAGTTAATGGCTAGTAGTTTGTTCAAGTAAAAACTGAATAAAAATCAATAGTATACTTCCAGATTTAACTAAGCAAAGTGAGAAGGTTTAAATGATGTTTATTAGATTTTCAACGCCAAGGCCTAGGCTCGGCCCATTAACATCTCCATTGTGAAATCGGTGATGCTTGGTGTGTATTTGATGGTTCTAATGCATCGTTGTTATTCTTTATTTCCTCATGTTTATTACATTTGTTTTGGTTTAAAATTTATTGTTGTTAGGTGTGTATTATCTAAATTATCAATTTTTTTGGTGAGTTTTAAATTATTAGATTTAATTTGTATTTTGTAATAATTATTTGCGGTTGTACTTTATTTGAGTATATATTAACTATGATTTAGAATTTAGAAGAAGAAGAAATACAAATATATTTTAATTATAGTTAAAATTATAAATAATATACATCTGAATTTTGAATCTAGTTCAGATCACAATATCAAAATTTAATTTTTTTTACTTTAATATAAACACTATTCTATTGGAAATATTTTCAATGAATAACAAAAGATTTAATCTCTCTAGAGACAATCCAAGGCTTTTTCAATGAAAGTGTTCACATCTTTAAAATTTTAATAATTATTTTATAATATAACTTATTTTTTCAAATATTAAATAAGTCATTGAATTTTTTATAAAATAAATTATACCTTCAAACTTACCGAAAAATTAATTAAGCCCCTTTATCATATCATCATTCACATGTGTATCACCATGTCAATACAATATACTACCATAATAGCACTGTAAAAATTAATCCCTTTTACTATAGTTTTGTGTCATCAAACTAACAAAGCTAATGACTTGGTGACCAAAATATAACAACTGAAAATGTAACAAATAGATAACTTAAGTGTCTGAAACATAATTTTATCAAAATCGATGATAAAAAATGAATACAATTCAAATAAAAGTGATCATTTTCTTCGTTAATTCATTAAGGTAATATAATATTATGTACTTATATTTTAACAAAATATTTAATAAAATATTTATATTTTAAAATGTCTAATGTGGTACGTATCATGTGAAAAAATGTTCAATATGGTATATGTGCTTTAACAAAATGTCTAACGTCATACCTTTATTTTTAAAATGTCTAACGTGATCTTTTTTTAGTATAACTACTGGTATCCGATCTATTAATCAATTAATATGGATTGGGTATTGCAGAGGCAAGGGCGACTCTCCCAACCCAATTTGCTCCATTCGCAATCGCAAGGAATCGAATCCCTAACACCTCGCTTAAGGCATCTAGTGTCTCATCCCACTAGATCAACTGGTTGTTGGTAATATAATATCTTCTTTACTTTGTTAAAATATCTAACGTGATATTGTACTTCGTTAAGATGTTTAGTATAGTATATGAACAATTGTTATATGTATTATTATGATACTCAAATTAACACCGTTAGTAAGTGATTTACCTGAACTACCATTCCATTTATTATTAGGATAATCGGGTTAATACTATTAGTAAGTGCAAAAATAAATCAATAAAAATTCATATGCACTATAATAATGCATAAAATGATAGCACAAGAATCATGTTAGATATTTTATCAAAGGGCATGTATTACATTTGATAATTTAAAAGTACAAGTACCACATTACACATCTCATCAAAGTATATATACTATATTAAACATTTTAAAAGTGTATGTAATACATTAGATATTTTGTCAAAGTATAGATATCAAATGTGACATCATCCCTTGTATGTTTTATAAACTACTCCCAGTCTGATTGAAGTGTTCCACAGCTGGACTCAGATTAAACTTGAGTGATGCAGATTAGGAGGTAGGTTAGATGGAATTAATGATGCCAAAAGATTCCATTAAACAAGACTATGATAATATTAAGTCAAAGAAGAAAGTATGAAACACATTAAAATATCATTAATAAAGCAACCGTATAGTCTTCCATCTTTAAAGAGTTTAGACTCAAGAGTCAATATTACGGTTGAACAAATTCCCCACCAACACCACCTTGATAATTTAAAACGCCCCACAACTCAATTATTCAGGTCAGAATAACAATGGTGTTAATCATTTGGGTGTCTCTGTCGTGCCTGCTGGGACTCGTTCGGTGCTATCAGGGCACAGACTTGAATCCTTTTGAACTATTGAGGCAAGAATTATATGGTGCGTCAACATGGGAAACCGCGTTGAGCTGGGAGAAGCCACATGCTGTTTATATTGGGTCTCAGGAAGGACTGAAAGAGGTTGATAGAGTTGGAAGTTTGCCTGGACAGCCCGGTGATGGGGTGGATTTTCATCAGTATTCGGGTTATGTGACGGTTGATCCTGAGGCGGGCCGAGCATTGTTCTATTATTTCGTGGAGTCAGATCGCAATGCTTCGAGTAAGCCACTGGTTTTATGGCTTAATGGAGGTAATCATGCTTATATTCTATGTTTTTTGCTTATCTGCTACACCAATTTGACCATCCATGGAAACCGTAAAGCCTATCTACCTGGTAATAGCCAAAATGCCGGATTTGATCCCCTGAGTCCTAAGCTAAAACCCTAATCAAGAAGATGCATGAATTTAATTTATGTCAGGCCTGTAAACTTAAAAAAATATATTAAATATTATAGGGGTGTGAAGTTATAAAATTTCAAAATGTACGAAACTAGATAATCAATAGAAAATACAAAGAAAAAAATCTAAAATAAAAGGTAATTTAAATTTTTTAAGGGATGTGACTACACCCGATTACCCCTAGTCCATCTCTCTTTCCCTAATGAAACTTTTGATTCTTATTAGTGTATTTTGTTACTGAATTAACTGGCATGAAACTATATTCAATCATTTATTTTAAAAATAGAAAAAGAGTGATGAGAATTATAATAAGAACTAATTAGCCTAATGACATTTTTAACTGTAAACATTTTATCCTTAATTTTTTAATCTCTTTTGGTCCTCAATTTTTTTATCATTAAATTATTATAATTTTTTACACAGAAAGATAAAATAACTGACATTAATATTGATAAAAATTGAAACGTCATCATCCTAATAAATTTGTTACTTTTTCTAATATTAATTGTTTTAAATTGATAAAAAAAATTAAAAAAATTTAAAGATTACAAATTAGACGAAAAATTTTAAAATTTTTATAAAATAAATTTGAAGACAAAAAAATATCACTAAATCTAATAAATAAATCTCTATATAATGTGAAATTTAAACTTGTGCCTCAAAGACCTAACTATACATTCCTTATTGCAGCCAAGACTTCGTTTTATTTCAAATAGTGAAGTTGCCTTTAAAATACTAACATATTATGAACACAAATGAAGAAAACAAATCTTACAGTATGATTGAATCAATTATAAAATATTATTACATTTATAAAATTTTAAAATATTTTTTATTGATTTTTTATCTGTTTAACTTGTGATATAATTCAGTTATAACATTTATATATAACTTAAAGTACTTCAAAATGAATGATGAGAACATATGTCAAATAAATTCCATTAATTTGTAACAATAATCAAAATACTTATATATAACATATATACAATCAAAATAAAAAATTGGGAAAAAATTCTCTATAGAACTTAAACATCTATCTATACATCCCTCCCCACTTGAGCCTAAACATTATTTAGTTTTGTTTCACAATGAAACTTTATTTAGTTTTAAATATTAAAGTTGCCTTCAAAATATAAAATGTGATAGACTTGGATAGAAACTAATAATCTTACGATATTATTGAATAAATTTAAAATATTATATTTTTATCATATTTAATATTCATAATGTAGGTAAAAAATATTTTTAAAATTTATTTAATAATGACAATTAGTTTAATGGTAAAGAATTTTGTTAGTAATTAGTAAATCATATTTAATATATATATGACTGCAGAGCATTTAAAAAATTATTGTTAAATGGTTGAAAGTATTCAGAACAAATACTACCACTTGTAATCATACTAAATTAAAAAAAATAATAATATAAAAATATTAAAAGATAAAAGTGGTATCATAATAAAATTAACTAGTACTATTTAAAGGAAGGTTATTATAATAATTTTTCTACTAAATCGGCTCCTAATTAATTGATGTCAGCAACTCATTTGAAAACTTAATTGAATGAGTTTTGATCAACTTTGGAAATATAGTATAGATAAACAATACAACATGCATTATGGCATATTTTATGGGCAGGGCCTGGTTGCTCTTCCATTGGAAATGGAGCTATGATGGAACTTGGCCCATTTAGAGTAAATAAAGATGGTAACACCTTGGATCCAAATCAATACGCATGGAATCAAGGTAAGTTCAAAACTGCCAAATTATCAGTGTTTCCTTGAAAATTAAACCTAAATTTATACAATCATTGAAAAATGCTAATATTTTGTGTGTTAATGTCAGATGCCAACATCATATTTTTAGAATCCCCGGCCGGTGTGGGATTCTCGTACTCAAATAGAACCTCAGACTATAAATTAAGTGGGGATCTAAGAACTGCCAAAGACTCCTATACGTTTCTTGTTAACTGGCTCCAAAGATTCCCAGAGTACAAAACCAGAGAGTTTTTCATTACAGGAGAGAGCTATGCAGGCCACTATGTACCCCAGCTTGCTCGCACTATCCTTCAAAACAATAAGCACAGCAATCAAATTACAATCAATCTAAAAGGAATTGCAGTAAGTTCCTATAAGAATCTTTATCCTTTATGCACGTGTTTTGTGTACTGAATGTTAGGAGGTGGTGTGTTTTTGATGTATCAGATAGGTAATGCTTATATTGATTTTGAAACAACTATGAGAGGGGCAGTTGATTTCTATTGGACGCATGCACTTATGTCGGATGAAATATACCATGGAATTGCATCCAACTGTGATTATTCCAAACTTAGTTTATCATCCAAAGATTGTTTAGAATTTGTGGATAAAGCCAATGACACTGCTGGTAATATATATACATATGACATCTATGCTCCCCTGTGCAATTCGTCTTCAACTTCCAATTCCGTGAGTAAAATGAACTTCTGTTTTGTTTTACCCCTATGTGTCAAGTTGGTGAATACAATGTTCCCTGCTCGGAAACAGGTGTCGGCTTTCGATCCCTGTTCGGAAAATTATGTTCATTCCTACTTAAACAACCCAGAAGTTCAACAAGCACTTCACGCAAATGTTACTTCTCTTCCTTATCCATGGAAATCCTGCAGTGGAGAAGTAAATCGAAACTGGAAAGATAGACCATTAACAGTGTTGCCGGTCATTAAGGAAGTAATGGAAAGCGGAGTTCGGGTTTGGGTCTACAGGTTAGTCATTGGAAAAGAAGCTCAGTCTCACTTAACTCTGATTTTGAATTTGAATAGTTACTAATCAAGTTTAATGGCATCATGACAGTGGTGACACAGATGGTGCCTTGCCTGTGACATGTAGCAGATATGCCATAAACAAACTGGGGATGCCTGTTAAGACAGCCTGGTATCCATGGTACATTCATGGGGAGGTAATAAGTTGTACTCCATTTTACTAATCTAATTACTGCTTTTAGACAATGATTCAATGTTGGATTTTGTCAAGGTTGGAGGGTATGCTGTTGGATACCAGAACTTAACATTTGTGACAGTAAGAGGAGCTGGACATTTTGTACCTAGTTACCAGCCAGCTAGGGCCCTGGTGCTCTTCTCCTCCTTCTTAAACGGAAAGCTTCCGCCCTCTGCATGCGGGTTCAACCGTTGAGAAAATGTAAAATGTAGCTGTCTTTGATATATCATGTTAACCGTACTATGGGACAACCTAAGGAGTGCATTTCATCCTGTGAATAGATAGCTCATCGAGCATGTTCTATTACTTTTTGGAGTCATCAGAAAATTCTTCCGGAAAGCATGTTTTATGGCTGAATAGAGGTGCCATATTTATCTATGGTTCTGCATCAAAAGATAGCTTTTCGAGTTTATTTTTGCATGGTTATTCATTGTCTCACATTAATCAATCCTAATATGCCATAGCAATCAGATCTCTAATTTACTGCATATTACATATGGTCTGCAAATGATAAGTTAGATGCAGGGAAAGAAAAGCATTTTCATACTCAAACCTTTGTGAAGTGGGATTGTATAAAGAAGCTTGAAGGTAGTTCCGGTAAAAGATCGATTCATAACTCTCATGTTTTATCCCCTCCATAGAATCAACCCTGGATCGATCACCGCAGGTTCAAAATTAAGTGCATTCCGAAAAAATACTAGCAGCATCATTCTTCAGCTTTCTAAATAAACAGATAACATTGGGGCATAAAAAACATCAGTGCTGCAAACCAGAGAACTTGACACTTCTGTTTTCAACCTGGAATCTTCAGTTTTCCACAAGGGACATCAAGTTGGGTGATAGGCTCGGTGACCTAGTCCAGCTAAGTAGGGAGCCCACTTCCGCAATAATATCCCATAGGACTCTTCATTTTCAAACAAATCCAACCAGTGACTGTTTTTGTCCCGAAGCTGAATCGTGAACCAGATATTGTCCGGGCATAACTTATGAACGCGCTTTACAGAGAGAAAAAAATGCTTGGAACAATGGTACATTGTCTAGGTAGGTAGGGAGCATTTGGTGAACTGTTCGTGAACCGTTCGTTTAAGGTCGGTTTATGTTCGTTTATTATGCTAAATGAAGGAGTATGAACAAAATTTTTATGTTCGTTTAATAAACGAACGAGAACGAACAGATGTGTTTTGGTTCATTTATGTTCATGAACAAACTCGTTTATATGTTCACGAATAAATTCGTTTATAAGTTCGATTATTTTTTTTATATTTTAAATATTAGTGAAGGTACATACTAATTTAAATACATGCTAAAATTTATATCAAATAAAATACATATAAGTCAAGAAACTCATTATAAATGAGACTTACCCTCCTTTGAACCTCATCCTCAACATAAAGAACATTGTACAACTCTTTTAGAAGTTGTAATTTATATCGAGGATCAAGTAAAACAACAAAATACATAATAATTGAGTGACCAGACCAATATTTCTCAAATAGTTCAAGCATGAGTTTAGCCATTGCAGAAATACCTTCACAGGGATCATTATGAGCATCACACAATAATTTTTCAATTGAAACAACATTAGCCAAAAACAAGTTAGAAGTGGGATACTTAGAACCAAAGAACAGAGTAGTAATTTCATAAAAAGGCTCAAGAAAATCACAGGTTGTTTGAACAATTTCCCACTCAAGATCAGTAATGAAATCTAACTAATTTTCCCTATTAACAAACAAATTAATTGCTAATCTAGCCTCAAGTGCCCTATGAACCATCAAGTAAGTATAATTCCATCAAGTAGGAACATCCAATACTAACTTACCAGAGAAAGAAGTATCACAGTCTTTAAGATCTAATTCAAATGCACAAAGTCGAGAATCAGAAGAATCAATAAACTTAACAATCTCACGCAATTTATTAACATAAGAATCAATTACCTTCAAACCTTTTTGAACTATCAAGTTCAAACTGTGGGTAGCACATCTTATATGGAAGTACTTACCATTGCATGGAAGAGGAAAAATGACATCCAAATCATCTTTTAGTCTCTTGACCATTTTATCATTTGCAGAAGCATTATCAAGTGTAATGTTAAATGATTTTTTTTCAAGACCCCACTCACAAATCATCTTTTTAACAAACTTAAATATTGATTCCCCATCATGAGGAGGAGGAAAACGACGAAAATTAAGAATTTTAGACTGAAGTTTCCAGTTATTATCAACATAATGAGCAGTAAGAGAAAAATAAAAACGTGAAGTGCAGGCAGACCAACCATCATATGTAAAACAAATACGACTTGAAACAATATGCATTGAATCAAATAGCAATTTCTTATACTTTTTATGCTCCAACATGCAATACTTAGTAACAGTATACCTAGATATATCCTTAACAGAAGAATTAAGGTAATGATGTAAATCCCTAAGTTTTTCATGCTCAACAATACTATATGCATAACCATGACACAAAATAGCCTCATCAAACAATTCACAGTATTTGTTTTGATCAAAAGAAGCTACACTACCAGGATTTTCAGCAAGAAAATCCTTATATGCTTGATATTTCTCAGTAAGCCTTTTAGGGTTAGATGTACCATATAAGAATCAGCTTTATACCTTTTAACTTTGCAATACTTGCACTCGACATAAACAGAACCATCATCAGATTTGATGAATGTGTAGTGGTCCCAAACAGGAGAGGTTCTTCTCCTAAAATCGGATGAACCAATGGACTTCCTCTTAGAGGATTTATTTAAATCATTTGCTTCGGACAATATATCATTTACATCCCCTTGCAAAAAAACCATGGTTAGTTTACATTACAACAATAAACTAGTACATCATTTACATCAATAGTAATAAACCAATACATCATTTACATCAACATCAATAAACCAGTATATCATTTACATCAACAGCAATAAACCATTACATCATTTACATCAACAGTAATAAACCAATACATTATTTACATCAACAACAATAAACCAGTACATCATTTACATCAACAACAATAAACCAGTACATTATTTACATCAACAACAATAAACCAATACATCATTTACATCAACATAAATAAACTAGTACATCATTTACATCAACAACAATAAACCAGTACATCATTTACATCAACAATAATAAACCAGTACATCATTTACATTAACAGGAATAAACCAGTACATCATTTACATCAACAGAAATAAACCAGTACATCATTTACATCAACGACAATAAACCAGTACATCATTTACATCAACAGCAATAACCCAATACATCATTTACATCAACAGCAATAAACCAGTACATCATTTACATCAACATCAATACACCAGTACATCATTTACATCAACAATAATAAATCAATATATCATTTACATCAACAGCAATAAACCAATATATCATTTACATCAACAGCAATGAACCAATATATATATATATATCAAGCATATACAAAGAAAGGAATGGGCAGTTTACCTCTTTCAGAATGATGGTCATTCTGATCTGCTGGGTTTTGACCTACAAAACAAATAAATAATAAATTAATTTGAATATTAAAATAAATTAAAAAAATGAAAAAAAGAATGAGAAATACTTGAGTAATTCAACTCGTACAAAAAACTATCCATGAAACCGTACAGAAAAAAATAAAGGTTTTGAATAGTTTGGGTTCGGGTTAGGGTTCAGGTTCAGGTTTGGGTTTTGTCTCGGTTTGGGTTTGGATTTGGGTTTAGGGTTTGGGTTCGATTTAGATTTAGGTTTGTGTTTGTGTTCAGTTTGGGTTTGGGATTGGGTTTGGGATTGGGTTTGTTTGGGATTGGGTTTATTTGGGTTTATGTTTGGGTTTGGGTTAGGGTCTGGGTTAGGGTTTAAGTTAGGGGTTAGGGAAGATGAATAATGGTTTAGGGTTAGGGGTTAAAGAATATAAGGTTTGTAAGGATTTGGGGAAGAACACAGATGAACAATGGATGAATTTGTGGGGTGTTTGATCGAAAAAAACACGAAATGGTTTGGGTTTAGTTTTTTGAAGATCAAATGAGGGTTTTGGGGAAGAACTGTGATAAACAAATGAAGAACACAGATGAAAATTTGGATGTTTGATCAAAAAAACACGAAATGGTTTGTGTTTAGGTGTTTTTGAAGATCAAATGAGGGTTTTGGGGGAAGAATTGAATGAACAAATGAAAAACACAAGAATATTTGGGTGTTTGATAAAAAAAAACACGAAAATGTTTTGGTTTTGGTGTTTTTGAAGATCAAATGAGGGTTTTGGAGAAAAATTAGATGAACAAATGAAGAACACGGTTGATTTTCTAGAGAGAAGGCAGAGGATTTGAGAGAATCAAAGAGTAAGAGAGAGAGCAAAATAATGAAATGAGAAAAAGAGAGGAAAATGCTGAAAATGAAAAAAATACCTTTTATACGGGTTTATTTGGGGTTCAGGTTTGGGTATGACTCGCGTGTTTTTAACTTTGTGTTACATTGTAGCGTGGTCTCCTAGTTTTAAATTTGTTCAATTTAGTCCAAATTTAATGATACAATATATTAATTTAAGCTTTATATTTCAAATTTTTTCAATTTAGTCAAAATTTAATATTACAGTTTATTAATCTAAGCTTCATATTTAAAATTTGTTCAATTTGATCCATATATATTTTCCAATTCTTTCAATTAATATATATGTTTATATTAATAAATTAATATATAGGTTATAATATACTAATGAAATTTTCAATATAGTTTATATATAATATAGTTTATATAGTAATGAACTATATAATATATAGTTTGTATACCATATACTATATAGGTATATATACTAATGCACTATATAATATAGTTGTATATACTAATAGTTTATATATACTAATGAACTACATAATATAGTTTATATATACTAATGAAATATATATAATGTAGTTATATATACCATATAGTTTATATATTATATAGTTTATATATAATAAACTATATAATGTATAGTTTTTATATACCATATAGTTTATATACTAATGAACGACTATATATATATAGTTTATATATATTATACAGTTTATATATACTATAGTATAATTATTTTATAGTATATAAATATCAACTATAGTATATAGTTATTGGGTTTTATATATAGTTCATATGTAAATATACTATATAGTATATAGTTTATATATATAATATATAGTATATAAATATAAACTATAGTATGTAGTATATAAATATAAACTATAGTTTATGTATATGGTATATACTATATAAATAGTTTATATAGTTCACTAATAAACTATATATATAGGTCATATGTAAACTATATAGTTTATATAAGATATGTAACTATAGTTCATATGTAAATATCAACTATTTATATGTAAACTATAGTTAGTATATTAAACTATATAGTTTATATGTAAACTATAATTCATATATAAATATCAACTATAGTATATATATAGTTCATATGTAAACTATA